AAAAAAAGGAACATTTTACGCAGAATCACTACCCTGAGTAAGGAGAAATTGTCCTGCTAAAGAATCGCAACACATTTTATTTATCTGAATTAGGGGCTCCTATCTTTCATACCTGAGTTAAGATCATGAACGAATTGTTTTGTAACGAGTCTTCACAATACATCCCTATATACGCCGAATTCGCAGATCTTCGATCGACTTTTATCGCCAACTGTGTCCTCAACAATTATCTAACTTACACCTCCATCATGTTCAATATTGTGACAGTCTATGCCATACACAAAACCTCGGCGATGGCAAAGACTTTAAAAACTCTGCTGCTGAGTCTTGCTTGTTCTGATGTTGCGGTTGGTTTGTTTACTCAACCATTATACAGTTCCCATCTGATCAAGTGGCTTCAACTGGACGATCCTGGCTGTAAAACTCGGCAAATGTGGTTTATTTCATGTAATTTATTGTCAACTGTCTCGTTCCTCGGTGTTGTGGCTGTAAGTGTAGACAGGTTCTTCGCACTTCATCTTCATCTCAGATACCAAGAACTTGTGACTCACAAGCGCGTTGTTATTGTGGTGATCAGCATATGGGTGTTCAGTGCATTTGTTTCTTCGATAACATTGTGGGGGTTAGTCAGTACTCGAGATCTTATTATTTTAGTTTCTGCGTCTTTCGGTTTCTTTATCACAGCTGTGGTCTACATCAGGATATATTTAACTGTACGACGACACAGGAATCAGATTCAGTCCATGCAAATACGAGACAAAGCTCAGTCTGATATAATGAAAAACTTTGCTGGTGTCATTAAATCAACAGTTGGAATATTCTACGTATATCTCGTATTTTTAAGTTGTTATTTGCCTCTTCTGATTTGCCTGGCTGTTACTCGAATCTATGGCTCGAATTCGGCTTTAAAAAAGTTCTTTCTTTTCTCATGGACTCTCGTGTATCTAAATTCAACTTTGAACCCTGTCATTTACTGTTGGAAGATGAGACAAACTCGACACGCTATTATAGACATACTGTGGAAGATATATCAGAGAATAAATCAGCCATCTCGCGTAATTTACAATCGGCCATCGAGCGTGGTCCATGTTGACAACTGATCTACTCTGTGTGGCTTACAAGGACTATACGCAGTTTATAAATATACGACAAAGTAAATAGGGACAAAGAAGATTAAACATAAACTTAGTGATTTGATCCGTCAGCCAAATAATTGCGCAGCTCCGAATTTAACACCACAACATATCAAATTGTTGCAACTGGATAGAAAAAGAGTACTTTGAACAAGGAAGCTGGTTTTGTTATCGATGGACCGTGAGATTGTAATTACAGATGGCAATTAAAGAAGTATAGCAGACATGATATTATTCGGCATACCAACGTTTTCGTAGCTCTAAAATTAAAATCAAGATTAAAATAAGATAAGAGTGGATGTGGACCTAAGCTTCTTGCAGGGGGTTTCTTTTATCCATTGAAAAGTTTGTCCATGACTGCGAAATGATTCGCCAACTCTCTTAGGACTACCACTGACAACTGAATGACGTGCCAGCTTGGAATAAAAATGAAGGAAACTTGAGCCATCCGTCTTTCTACCTCAAAGGCAGAATTACGAACGTACGCCGTAATAGGGGAGAAGAAAAACTTCTTGCTCTTAATGTAAAGTCAACTCCTTGACTCCTCTTCATGTGCAATTTTAAGAAACTTTCAAGCAAGCAGGTAACGAGAATGACAAAGATAATCAATTAGAGATCATGGTGTAGATTGCAAGACTTTCGGGGCCGAACAACAAATTTAAGATATAACTGAAGGGAATAAACCTCCATGTCCCAGACCAGTTCATTGGAAGTTAAAAAGTTAAATGATCCTACGACTTAAACGGTATAGCGTCACATTAAGAGCGGAAGAAAGAAAACAACCAGGAGCTAGTACTTTTTAAGAGGGAGAAAAAATTGATGTTAGTCATTGGCTGTTGGGTGGATTGCAAAAATAAAAAAAAAAAGGATTGATTGATACTCTCGAGAACTGAACATTCAGCGAAAAGATTTCGTTTGCCTTTACACTTTTGAGATAAAAACTACGTCGAAGCAAAAGGCTGCATATGAAAACGAAAACAGAGGCGGCTTTAGAGTTGTTGTTTAGTTCGCAGATGTTTTCTGGTGGTTCTAGATAATACCTGACCGGGAACTTTTGAGAGGTTAAAATTAAGCATGTTTCCGTAGTTATCTCTTTTCGCTTAAGTTTCGTGATTTCCAATTTCTGGCCGAAAGAGAGGATCTAGAACTTAAAAAGTGTCAGAACATTAATCTTGTCAACTGCTTAAAAGTTTATTTTGACAGATAATCGAAACCTTAAATTTCAGGCATATCTATGAGATTAGGTGGCGATTTAAAAAATCTCGGAGAATATTTGTAACAGGGTCGATTCCGGCGGGTTTTCAGGGAAGACGGGGAGGGGATTAGACGTCGCCAACAGGCTAACTCCCTTTCAGGTGTTAAAAAATGACAGGCCCTTTAGGAAGATAAATAAAAGATCCGGTAATTTACTCCTAACAGAAAAACTAATTTGGGAATAACGATGAGTAAGGTGTACAGAGATCGATAATAAGAATAATATCTTAAGTTCTATGGCGTATTGTCTGTTAAGATAACTAAACCAAACATTGTTTACTATTCAGAGTGCATTATTATCATCTTAAAGACCTTCTCCTGTTTTATTAATTTTTTCAATGAACCTAGCTAGCTGTCACTCTTGGATATAGGAAAGCAACTTAATGAGCTTAATGTCTTTGTCTTTATTCATTGACTCCCATGTTTCTTAATTAATCTTTGAACCCTGTCATTTGCCACCGGTAGATGAGACAAATTCGACACGCTATCATGGACATAGATTGCAGAACATTTCTTAGAGAAGAAATCAGCCATGTCGAATAATTTACACTGCATACCTGTGTGCAATGACTGTCTAAGTTGTAAACCGCTTAATCAGCTGAACAGCAATCTAATTATGAAAGCGTCGACAGAGGTGGCAGAAGTCCAACTTTTAAGAAATTAGGCCAGCGGTCTCTGTACATGGTGTACGCCTGAGCAATGACGGAGAAATTTTAAAACCTTTTTAAAAGGATGAGTTTTTCGTGATTTCCTCTATTCGCTCAGCCAGACAAGGGTAAACTCGGGTTTTCGAGAATTTAATGTCGCGAAAATGGTATGGACATATTTCATGGGACTTCAATTTCGCGATTTTGACTAAAAAGTATTTAATAAAAGGGACTAAATTACGTGAAAATTGCCAAAATACTTGTCAACACGAACAGAGAAATAATTCATATGTAGAAACAGCTTATCGTCACGAGTTACAATACCTTCCTTCTGGTTAATTTCCGAAAAAAACTATTTTACGGCGTTTCTATTTCGCAATTTTTGACACTCGCGAGATTCGCAAGAATTAACTCCCACGAAAATAAGTAAAAATTATCGTATCTTTACTGCAACACTCCTTTATTGTCTAAATTTTGATTTAAACTAATGAAAATACAATTGAATATTTTGACAGCCCCTGTATGTTAATTTCTCTATGGTTGTATGGTGCATCTATTTCTTTGATGATAATGTGGAGGTAGTCAGTATTCGAGATCTTATTATTTTAAATTCTGCATCTTTCAGTTTCATTGTCACATTTGTGGTGTACATCAGGATATAGTTAACTGTTCGGCGGCACAAGAATCAGATTGAATCTTTGCAAGTACAAGAAGTAGCTCAGTCTGATGAGATGAGGAAAAACATTTCTGCCCTCATTAAATCCACAGTTTGCATACTCCATGTATATCTCGTCTTTTTAACTTGTTACTTGTCATATTTTATCTGTACCACTGTTTTGAAAATATATAGCTCGAGCGTCGTTTAAAAAAAACACTCTTTCCTTTTTCATGGACTCCTGTGTTTCTTACTTCACCGTTGCACCCTGTTATTTACTGCTGGAAGATGAGACACATTCAACACGCTATTATGGGCATACTTCGGAACCGTCATCTTGCGAAATTTACAATCGATGATCGATTGCTGTTCATGTTGATAACTGATTCCCTCTGTGTGGCTTACAACGACTATATGCTTTGTTTGCCAACAACAAAGTAAATCGAGACAAAGAAGATTGTACAGAAATAGAGTGATATGACTCTGCGGCAATGTAATTGCGTTGTTCGAATTTTATATACACAATATATCAAATGATCACAATTGGAAAGAAGGAATCTATTTTGAACAGGGATGCTGTTTTTTTTTTTCCCATCGAAAGACAATAAAATAACAATTATAGATGCCCGAATAAAAGTAGGATAGCAGACATGATATCATTCGTATCAGGATTGAACCCTAAAAAGGCCGGCGAATAAAAGCATTTTATGGGGACCTGAGTTTCGTTTGGGCGTTCTTTAATCCCCTGTAAATTTTGCCAATTATTGTAAATTGTTTTGCCAAAATTAAACCTCTTAACATTAGCTCTGGTCTGACAACTGAATGACGAGCCAGCTTCAAATTAAACAGAAAGAATCCTGTGCCATCTTTCCTTCTACCTCAGAATCCTAATTTCCAAATTACGCCTCAATAGGGTAGTGAAAGGATCTTCTTCCTCCTAATAAAAAAGTGAGCTCCTTTACTCAACTGAATGAGTAATTGTAATAAAAACGTTCAACAGCATCTCATCTGGTGAAGAGAAACCAGGAGCTGCTAGTCATTAGCTCTTGAGTGGATTGTGATACAATGAATTGATTGACAGGCTTGAAAACTATCCAAACGGCGAGATTGATTTGGTTTGCCTTTATACTTAAGAGGCAAAAGTTTTCTCGAAGCATAAGGCTGTACATGAAAACGAAAACAGAGGCGGCTTTAGAGTTATTGATTAGCCCGCATGTGTTTTCAGGTGATTTTATCATAGATAATACCTCATCGGAAAGTTTTGAAAAATTAAAATCACGCACGTTTTTCCTTTTTGTCTCCTTTCGCCTGAATAATTCTTTCCAATTTGTAGACAAAAAGGTAGGTCAATAATGTGAAAAGTGTCAGAACAGTAGCCTCGCATAAAAAAGTGCTTAAAAGTTTAATTTGACAGACAATCGACAGCTTAAATTTCAGGAATATCTTTGAGATTACGCGGCGATTTAAAAAAATCATGTCAAAATCTCGCAGAATATTTGTAACAGCGTCAATTCC